TTTTTTTTTTCCTTTTTGCAATTACAGAGTGGTATTCAGTTAACAGAACAACAATTATTTTTATGATGCATCAGAGACAACTGAAGATGAAAAATGAACTACATCCCCAATATATAACTAATTTGTGCTGTGCACCAACAAGAACCTGCTTTAAAACTCCCATGCCAATTTACAACCCCCACACTGTACCAGGCAAGGTTAGTGGCCATTGAAATACCACTAAGGACAGGGCTATCTAAAGACACATTCGGTAGTGTGTTAACTATACAAAAAAAGAGACACTGTACAGTTTAAAAACAAATCTTACACAGCCTTACATTTCAATTTTGTTTTTTTTTTTCTTTAAAAGGAGTGAGTTGTGTACAGGGGGGTTAAATGCTTTATAGACAAGAAAGAAATTGCTCCAAAAGAGACTTATTCATCATCATCATCATCCTCGTCCTCCTCCTCTTCCTCTTCTTCRTGCTCTTCATCATCCTCCTCCTCTTCGTCCTCATCCTCATCTTCCTCCTCCTCCTTCTTCTTCTTGCTCATCTCCGCCTTGGCGACTACTTTTTTGCCTGTATCAACCTTCCCTTTGGCCCGGTATGCAGCGATATCCTTGGAGGAGAAAAGCAGGAAGAATCTCAAAGCCTGAGCCAGCCCAGCGCTCCAAGCCGCTTCCAAACGATCCTTGGGAAGCCCCTTCTCCACGTCCACTGCGGCGGGACCAGGAGTTGGGCCCTCAGCTACGCCAAACTGGGGCTCAAGACCAGAACACAACCCCAAAGAAAGAGAAACCCTCTCGGGCTGAGGGGATACTTGTGTGCCAAGACACGCTGGGGATCCTCTGCTCTCGGGCTATTAGGAATGGGCTGGGAAAGCGGCTGCCTGGGATGAAACAAGCCCAGCGGATGCCACTTTCCAGGATCAAAGTTGGGAAACCTCTCACGGGCCCTTCCCACTCCTATTTCTACAGTGGCTAAAGAAATGCCCAAAAAATCCTCATCAGAGACGTGAAATTGGAATTAGCCACCAAACCCAGCCCGGAGTGACACGGCCTCCTCTCCGCTGTGTCGTGCCTCACCGAAGAGCAATTATACAGAATTCTGCCTTAGTGAAGTTTACAAAATAAAAGGTACAAGAACTTTGATTAAAGGGTAGACAGTGCCACCTTCTGCATGCAATAAATTTATTCTAGTCGTTTATAACACACAAATTCAAGTGCTTGTCTCAGGCCAGTCAAAACTGTCCACGGACTGCCCAGTTTTATGCCAAAATCATAGTAAAAAATAACAAGTACRCCACAGAATCTACCTGCAGTACTCAAATATACCGACTCTAAAATAATGTCAACACCTTTAGGTAAACAGTCAAAATCTTCAAATATTCCCCACCCCGCATACACTCTGGCAGTAACTTCCCAGTTCTTTCCACCTCCCTAAGGTTGAGCATTACATTTTTAGAAGATAAAATATTCACTATCAGTCAAAGGCCTATCAGTGAAATACTGAGGTTATTGCACCTTAAAAAGTCAGTGTGTAAGCACAAGAAACATGGGGAAGACTCGTGAAGGCAAAAATCTCCATAAATGAAGCACATTTCTACTGTTTTAAGAATGTCTTACAACTTGTTTATGCAGTTTTATGTACAAATAATTGCCATAGTGGTGAGTTTGCAGAAGGAAGGCCAGGACGGGACACCTCCCACTCCTACAGCTGCTCTCCAGCAAATACTGAGGACCAGAAGAGCCACCTTGGCCACTCTCCTGCTACAGTTTTAACGGGATTTTGGCTGCCAGCAAAGCCAGACACCAGGGCCAGGCCACAGCACAGGAGTGGGTGGGTGGCTGTGGTACGTACATAAGCTATAGGTGAACTTAGCTGACCAAAGCTCAGTGTTACCAAGTGTTACTTTCTCCTACATCCGCCCTTYCTTGGTGGGGGGACACGTCACAAGAGCTTCAGCTGTTAAGGCAAGATTTACCCCCAGTGACCCAAGAAACTCTATGGCACAGGTTTCGTGTGCACTAACTATGTTAATTACCACAAACTGGGCAGATACAAAAAGAAACGTGTGTCTAAAGCGAGCACTATGTTAACATTAGAGTATCTGTTATTAYTGAAGAGATAAACTAAAAGTGCCATTTATTTTTACCAATTATTCTAACGTTCGGGGTTGTTCCTCAATCCCTAAGCCCTCCAGAACCAGGGACTGCTCTTTCCTGACCTGGCTTAATGCTCCTGCCTTCACTCAGAAACTACTGCTGTTGTCACCTGTTGCTTTAATCACCAAGACGGACACAACAGCATCTACTCAACCATCACTGGTCCCAAACTGCAGATGAACGAGGGCAGTTCAACACCAGGGGCTGCAACTTAGTTAGTTCTAACTAACCAACAGTGTGCCCGTCGAGCTGTATTTTCCTGCTTTTCCTACAAGACATTCACCATCAGCGCATTACGTAAGTCACAACACAAACCACGAGAAGACACTCGACAGGAAAGATGCCCAAACGCAGGTTTTTCCTCCCTAACCCTTCGGCACAACCATCCACGGTTACCTTTTCGTACTTCTCCTTCAGCTTGGCAGCCTTTTTCTCGTAAGGCTGTTTATCATCTGCAGCCGTGTTGTTCCACATCTCTCCCAGCTTCTTCGCCACATCCCCGATGGACAGACCGGGATGCTCTCCTTTGATTTTTGGACGAAACTCGGAGCAAAACAAAAAGAAGGCCGAACTGGGGAGGCAAGGGGGGCGGGAGGGATTTAATTTTAGGCTTTAACCTACTGTAACAGACAGAGAAAGTTATAAACTTTGTTACTGTTTCTTAAGAGCACTGTAAAAATACTTTGTAAAAACACCTACAAGGGGGACAAACATGAGCTACAAAGAAAGATATGAGAACTAAACTTGGAACATCTCACACAGTCTTGTACCTAAGCACATCTGGCAGATTCCTGGCAGGATCCCAAAAGGATTTATATATATATATATATATATATATATATGTTTTTAAATGCAGAGAAAAATCTTAAAAACAGAATGACTAAATGATAGTAGGGGAGCAAATGTTAGGTCTTAATTGTTGAAGAATGAAGAGCAACACAACAGACACTACAGTATTTGCTGTGAAAATCAGCATTTCCAGATGACAGCATTAGCTCAAATAAAAGCATTCATTTTTACAGGAAGTTCCCTTATTTCCTACAGCGTTAGCTCCACTAAACAAACAAACAAACAAACAAAAAAAAAAGAGAGAAAAATGTATCTCTATAAAGTATCTTCTCTACCTATACTATGAGATTTTAAAAGTTAGTAGTCTTTTCTGTAATGACTGAGGTTTTATTTTCCTAAAACTGTTTCATAGAAGATTATTCCTATAATTTTAAATGGAATGCCAACCAAAGATTTTGAACAAGCCGATTTTGTGTGAATGGGGCCAGAAATATTACTACCATTTTAGACAAGAATTACTGTCCAGTTACAAAAATTGGGAAAAAAATCAGTAAGAATTGAGTGAAAGGACAATATAGATTTTTACATCTGCCCTTAAAGGCATATGTTAAGTGTCCCAATTTTACCCAAATTTGATCCAAAAATGAAAAAAAAAAAATCCTGATATTTATAATGAAAATAAATAAATATATCAACCAATCTTTACACCAACGGCCAGAAAAATAAATATTTTTGAGGTTTCCAAACCTGGATAAAAGATTACAGGCACACTGCAGCACGGTGGTCATGAACAAGATGGAAATTTACTTACGGAGGCCTCTTTGGCGCATTTGGATCCTTGAACTTCTTTTTCGTTTCCCCCTTGGGTGGTACATAGTTTTTCATTTCTTTTTCGTAACGAAGCTTGTCAGCCTTGGCCATATCTTCAAACTTTCCTTTCTCCTTAGAGGACATAGTCTGCAGGGCAATAAAGTGACACGCTGAGATTCAAGAGCACAAGGTGCCAAAACTCCAGCACGGAGTGCTGAACAAGGGAGCTACTACTGCCCCTACAAATGTACTTTGCACATAGCTAACAACTAACTTTTAGGGAAATAACTTACAATCTTGAACAATGCTTTACACCAGGTAGTTTTTCAAGCTTTGGGGATTTTTCTCCCTCTCTTCTTTTTTAATTATTCCTACCTTCCATCGTTCTGAGCACTTTTTTGAGAACTCTGAGAAGTTCACTGAAGCATCTGGATGTTTCTTCTTGTGCTCCTCCCGGCAGGTTTGCACAAAGAAGGCGTATGAAGACATTTTACCTCTCGGCTTCTTAGGATCACCTTTGCCCATTTTGATGGCTTTCTGTAACGCAGCGGGGGGGAAAAGAAGAACACAAAAACTTTTAAACTTTTAACATCCACCCACTGTGGCGGAAGGCTGTGAAGCAAGCTCATGCTGAGTAAGAGCTGCCATAGGAGTATCCTGATATATGGTAATAGCAAGAAGTTTCTTTACTGGAAAATGTGTGCCAGGTTTCTCCCATCCCTATTTGGGGTAATGTGGCAGACGCCACCCGAACCTCCAAGGGCCTCCAAAACTCCCACTTCCAGCCTCCTGCAAACAGCAACGCCCCCCCTAAGCAAGTCATAGGTAAGTTCTGGCATTAAGGCAGTCTGCACTCCTGGATTACTGCAAATATATCCCAAGCTAAGCAGGAATAATCATCGGGGGGGCGGGGGGAAGTACCTTGATATCCTGTCCCAGCTACTAAACTCCTTCGTTATCCTGTCCCAGCCACTAAATTCCCTCTCTGTGCAGTGTGTGTTTCTGCCCCCGACCCGTGCACGTGCTTGGTGCTCGTTTGCAATAAACGGGCAGTATTTTGAAGGCAGGGGATTGCTACAGGCCGCCTGTGCCCATTCCCACTGCTAAGCCGCCGGGAGGACACGCCGCGCGCTCCACGGCTGCAAGGAGCGACGTGTTACAGCCGGCACRGGGGCATTTCCAGGCCTGGCGGGCGGCGGGGACGCGCTGGGGGACGGAAACCCCTTGCGATCCTTGTGCACCCCGACATTCGGGGAATTCCTCCATGGCTCCTTGGGGGAGAAACGGCCACTCGCCCCCTGAGCGGCAGGTACCACGGAGCAGGAACACGGCAAGCCGGGCCTTCCCGCGGCTCCGGCAGGGGCCCATGCCTGCTCCGTGAGGGAGCGTGTCCGCTTGGAAGTTTCTATGGAGCAAACAGGCTCGCTCGCCCGCGGGGGCCGTTGAAAGGCGGCCGGTGACAGCGGCGCGCGTTTAAAAGGCTCTTCCCGCCATTTTGGCCGGCGGGGCCGGGGCGCGGGGAAGGGYCCGGGGCCGCGCTCCCCTCCCCTCCCCCGCGGGCAGGACAAAAGCGGCCGCGCGGGGCCGCCGCCTCCTTCCTCCTTCCTCCCCGCTCCGCTCCGC